CATCATCACTCTAGATACAATCATCATCACTCTAGGTACAATAATCATCACTCTAGATACAATCATCATCACTCTAGATACAATCATCATCACTCTAGGTACAATCATCATCACTCTAGGTACAATCATCATCACTCTAGATACAATCATCATTACTCTAAATACCATCATCATCACTCTAGGTACAATCATCATCACTCTAGATACAATCATCATTACTCTAGATACAATCATCATTACTCTAGATACAATCATCATCACTCTAGATACAATCATCATCACTCTAGGTACAATCATCATCACTCTAGATACAATCATCATCACTCTAGATACAATCATCATCACTCTATGTACAATCATCATCACTCTAGATACAATCATCATCACTCTAGATACAAATCACTCTAGGTACAATCATCATCACTCTAGATACAATCATCATCACTCTAGATACAATCATCATCACTCTAGATACAATCATCATCACTCTAGATACAATCATCATCACTCTAGATACAATCATCATCACTCTAGTTACAATCATCATCACTCTATATACAATCATCATCACTCTAGATACAATCATCATCACTCTAGATACAATCATCATCACTCTAGATACAATCATCATCACTCTAGGTACAATCATCATCACTCTAGATACAATCATCATCACTCTAGATACAATCATCATCACTCTAGATACAATCATCATCACTCTAGATACAATCATCATCACTCTAGATACAATCATCATCACTCTAGATACAATCATCATCACTCTAGATACAATCATCATCACTCTAGATACAATCATCATCACTCTAGATACAATCATCATCACTCTAGATACAATCATCATCACTCTAGGTACAATCATCATCAAAACAATCATCATCACTCTAGATACAATCATCATCACTCTAGATACAATCATCATCACTCTAGATACAATCATCATCACTCTAGATACAATCATCATCACTCTAGATACAATCATCATCACTCTAGGTACAATCATCATCAAAACAATCATCATCACTCTAGGTACAATCATCATCAAAACAATCATCATCACTCTAGGTACAATCATCATCACTCTAGATACAATCATCATCACTCTAGATACAATCATCATCACTCTAGATACAATCATCATCACTCTAGATACAATCATCATCACTCTAGATACAATCATCATCACTCTAGATACAATCATCATCAACTCTAGGTACAATCATCATCACTCAAGATACAATAATCATCACTCTAGATACAATCATCATCACTCTATATACAATCATATACAATCATCATACTAAATACAATCATCATCACTCTAGGTACAATCATCATCACTCTAGGTACAATCATCATCACTCTAGATACAATCATCATCACTCTAGATACAATCATCATCACTCTAGATACAATCATCATCACTCTAGATACAATCATCATCACTCTAGATACAATCATCATCAAAACAATCATCATCACTCTAGGTACAATCATCATCACTCTAGATACAATCATCATCACTCTAGGTACAATCATCATCACTCTAGGTACAATCATCATCACTCTAGGTACAATCATCATCACTCTAGATACAATCATCATCACTCTAGATACAATCATCATCACTCTAGGTACAATCATCATCACTCTAGGTACAATCATCATCACTCTAGGTACAATCATCATCACTCTAGGTACAATCATCATCACTCTAGGTACAATCATCATCACTACAATCATCATCACTCTAGATACAATCATCATCACTCACTCTAGATACAATCATCATCACTCTAGGTACAATCACCTCTAATACCCCTAGACATGACCCCAATGTCTAATATCTCCCTAGATATTATCCCCACCTCTAATACCCCTAGACATGACCCCAATGTCTAATATCTCCCTAGATATTATCCTCACCTCTAATACCCCTAGACATGACCCCAATGTCTAATATCTCCCTAGATAGTATCCTCACCTCTAATACCCCTAGACATGACCCCAATGTATAATATCTCCCTAGATATTATCCCCACCTCTAATACCCCTAGACATGACCCCAATGTCTAATATCTCCCTAGATATTATGACTCTAAGATAGACATATCCCAACCTCTAATACCCCACCCCAATGTCTAATATCTCCCTGACCCCAATGATAATATCCCTAGATAGTATCCTCACCTCTAAATACCCCTAGACCCCAATGTCTAATATCTCCCTAGATATTATCCCCACCTCTAATACCCCTAGACATGACCCCAATGTCTAATATCTCCCTAGATATTATCCTCACCTCTAATACCCCTAGACATGACATGCCCCAATGTCTAATATCTAATATCTCCCTAGATGGCCCCAATGTATCCTCACCTCTAATACCCCTAGACATGGCCCCAATGTCTAATATCTCCCTAGATAGTATCCTAAACTCTAATACCCCTAGACATGACCCCAATGTCTAATATCACCCTAGATAGTATCCTCACTTCTAATACCCCACCCCAATGTCTAATACCCCTAGATAGTATCCTCACCTCTAATACCCCTAGACATGACCCCAATGTCTAATATCTCCCTAGATATTATCCCCACCTCTAATACCCCTAGACATGGTCCCAATGTCTAATATCACCCTAGATAGTATCCTCACTTCTAATACCCCTACACATGGCCCCAATGTCTAATATCTCCCTAGATAGTATCCTCACCTCTAATACCCCTGGACATGGCCCCAATGTCTAATATTTCCCTAGATAGTATCCTCACCTCTAAATACCCCTAGACCCCAATGTCTAATATCTCCCCAATGTCTAATATCTCCCTAGATAGTATCCCTCACCTAGACATAATACTCCCTAGTATCCTCACCTCTAATACCCCTAGACATGGTCTCAATGTCTAATATCTCCCTAGATAGTATCCTCACCTCTAATCCCCCTAGACATGACCCCAATGTCTAATATCTCCCTAGATATTATCCCCACCTCTAATACCCCTAGACATGGTCTCAATGTCTAATAACTCCCTAGATAGTATCCTCACCTCTAATACCCCTAGACATGGCCCCAATGTCTAATATCTCCCTAGATAGTATCCTCACTTCTAATACCCCTAGACATGGCCCCAATGTCTAATATCTCCCTAGATAGTATCCTCACCTCTAAATACCCCTAGACCCCAATGTCTAATATCTCCCTAGATAGTATCCTCACCTCTAATCCCCCTAGACATGACCCCAATGTCTAATATCTCCCTAGACATTATCCCCACCTCTAATACCCCTAGACATGACCCCAATGTATAATATCTCCCTAGATAGTATCCTCACCTCTAATACCCCTAGACATGACCCCAATGTCTAATATCTCCCTAGATATTATCCCCACCTCTAATACCCCTAGACATGGTCTCAATGTCTAATAACTCCCTAGATAGTATCCTCACCTCTAATCCCCCTAGACATGGTCCCAATGTCTACTATCACCCTAGATAGTATCCTCACCTCTAATACCCCTACACATGGCCCCAATGTCTAATATCACCCTAGATAGTATCCTCACTTCTAATACCCCTAGACATGGCCCCAATGTATAATATCTCCCTAGATAGTATCCTAACCTCTAATACCCCTAGACATGACCCCAATGTCTAATATCTCCCTAGATAGTATCCTCACTTCTAATACCCCTGGACATGGCCCCAATGTCTAATATCTCCCTAGATAGTATCCTCACCTCTAAATACCCCTAGACCCCAATGTCTAATATCTCCCTAGATAGTATCCTCACCTCTAATCCCCCTAGACATGGCCCCAATGTATAATATCTCCCTAGATAGTATCCTCACCTCTAATACCCCTAGACATGACCCCAATGTATAATATCTCCCTAGATATTATCCCCACCTCTAATACCCCTAGACATGACCCCAATGTCTAATATCTCCCTCGATAGTATCCTCACCTCAAAATACCCCTAGACCCCAATGTCTAATATCTCCCTAGATATTATCATCACCTCTAATATCCCTAGACATGACCAAAATGTATAATATCTCCTTAGATAGTATCCTCACTTCTAATACCCCTAGACATGGCCCCAATGTCTAATATCTCCCTAGATAGTATCCTCACTTCTAATACCCCTGGACATGGCCCCAATGTCTAATATCTCCCTAGATAGTATCCTCACTTCTAATACCCCTAGACATGGCCCCAATGTCTAATATCTCCCTAGATAGTATCCTCACTTCTAATACCCCTGGACATGGCCCCAATGTCTAATATCTCCCTAGATAGTATCCTCACTTCTAATACCCTTGGACATGGCCCCAATGTCTAATATCTCCCTAGATAGTATCCTCACTTCTAATACCCCTAGACATGGCCCCAATGTCTAATATCTCCCTAGATAGTATCCTCACTTCTAATACCCCTAGGCATGGCCCCAATGTCTAATATCTCCCTAGATAGTATCCTCACCTCTAATTCCCCTAGACATGGCCCTAATGTCTAATATCTCCCTAGATAGTATCCTCACCTCTAATCCCCCTAGACATGGCCCCAATGTATAATATCTCCCTAGATAGTATCCTCACCTCCAATCCCCCTAGACATGGCCCTAATGTCTAATATCTCCCTAGATAATATCCTCACCTCTAATACCCCTAGACATGACCCCAATGTATAATATCTCCCTAGATAGTATCCTCACCTCTAATCCCCATAGACATGGCCCCAATGTATAATATCTCCCTAGATAGTATCCTCACCTCTAATCCCCCTAGACATGGCCCCAATGTATAATATCTCCCTAGATAGTATCCTCACCTCTAATCCCCCTAGACATGGCCCTAATGTCTAATATCTCCCTAGATAATATCCTCACTTCTAATACCTCCCTTCGTATAGCCCTCAACTCCAATATTTCCTATGAAATGTCCCTATGAAATGCACTAGCTAATGTATTACCTACCTGTATGGCCAAAGGCCTATAGCTTTTAGTATCCAGGTATCTCACATGTGAAGGGAATTTTTCAAATGGAAACACTTTCAGACTGCATGTCCTTGTCTTGTTGCAGAATTTAACCATCTGTAAAGTGTAATGAAACTTGATGAGGACATCATTATCATACATACCATATCAAAGTTCTAAATCTGCAAAAGAATAAATAAGCAGAAACAAGAAACAAAGTTATCACATCATGACAAACAATAGTAACACTATATGCCCTCAGACCCAGAAATGACAGGTGTGTAAAAACAACCTACTTATCAGCTGTACTAGACCCTGAAATGACAGGTGTGTAAAAACAACCTACTTATCAGCTGTACTAGACCCTGAAATGACAGGTGTGTAAAAACAACCTACTTATCAGCTGTACTGGACCCTGAAATGACAGGTGCGTAAAAACAACCTACTTATCAGCTGTACTGGACCCTGAAATGACAGGTGCGTAAAAACAACCTACTTATCAGCTGTACTGGACCCTGAAATGACAGGTGCGTAAAGACAACCTACTTATCAGCTGTACTGGACCCTGAAATGACAGGTGCGTAAAGACAACCTACTTATCAGCTGTACTGGACCCTGAAATGACAGGTGCGTAAAGACAACCTACTTATCAGCTGTACTGGACCCTGAAATGACAGGTGTGTAAAGACAACCTACTTATCAGCTGTACTGGACCCTGAAATGACAGGTGCGTAAAGACAACCTACTTATCAGCTGTACTGGACCCTGAAATGACAGGTGCGTAAAGACAACCTACTTATCAGCTGTACTGGACCCTGAAATGACAGGTGCGTAAAAACAACCTACTTATCAGCTGTACTGGACCCTGAAATGACAGGTGCGTAAAAACAACCTACTTATCAGCTGTACTGGACCCTGAAATGACAGGTGTGTAAAAACAACCTACTTATCAGCTGTACTGGACCCTGAAATGACAGGTGTGTAAAAACAACCTACTTATCAGCTGTACTGGACCCTGAAATGACAAGTGTGTAAAAACAACTTACTTATCAGCTGTACTAGACCCTGAAATGACAGGCGTGTAAAAACAACCTACTTATCAGCTGTACTGGACCCTGAAATGACAGGTGTGTAAAAACAACCTACTTATCAGCTGTACTAGACCCTGAAATGACAGGTGTGTAAAAACAACCTACTTATTAGCTGTACTAGACCCGGAAATGACAGGTGCGTAAAAACCTACTAATCAGCTGTACTAGACCCTGATACGACAGGTGTGTAAAACAACCTACTAATTAGCTGTACTAACATGATTATAACATACCTGTTGAGATTCTGTTGTACTGATTCCAAGATCATAAATAAGGATTTTTTGTTGAGGCAGAATCTTTTGGGTTGATTTAACAAACTTCAGGGCTTCTTCGTAATTGCCAGGCAATGCCGAAGTTCCAATAATGGGAGTTTCCTTCACCTCACCATCAACCACCTTAGCCTCCTTATCATAAAATCCCAGTCGATCAAGGTAGATATGGTCCACTTTAAATTCTTCTTCATTGGAAGATCTAATGTTGGTCGGGATGTTTTTAATATTGTTGATCTGTTTGTGTGTCTGTGTGACAATGGTATGCAGGTTTGGTGAGGGATTGGTCAGTAGCCATATGGAGGTGGAAGTAGCAGCTATGAATAGGAGACATATATAGAAATTCTTGGTCTTCATTTGGTCGCTAAAACTAAAACTTTTCCACTTTGGAAGCAATTCACTAAGAAATTGAGTCACTCGGCTGATTAATGGGGTTTTCGAATTCACCATCATCTACCCCATGCTTTCAAGTATATTATCATTTTATCACTGCGAAATAAATCACACATCCAGCTACTGTTCATCTGAAAAAAGAAAAGATTATAAAACAAAATGATAACTGAATTTAAAAAATCTAAATTTTAATTTAAATATTCCTAGCCAGCATCCACTGTTTTGGTTTGCATGCTCTAAATTTGGTCTTTGTAAGTAAATAACTGCCATTGTGAATTTAGACACATGAAAAATTGTATTAAAATTTCCTATGTCAACTTGATGTTTACATGATTACTTGCAATGTCAACTTTGATCCCTTAGTAACCATAAGAAATGTCTTCATTAAAATCACAACGTTCTAACAGCCGTGGTGATGTTTTGTTGACTATGGTCCTTCTGATTAGTAAATGTCTGATGATTAAAATTTTCGGTTATTTCAAAGTATTTAAGTTTACCTTAAGTTATTCGTTTATCAACAGAACCTTACGATATCTTTCCGCAGACACATACCATAAAACATTGATAGTATTTTCGATACATAGTAGGTAGTGGTGGCGGACATCTTGTCGGTGTCGAGGGAAATTATTACTTCCGGTCAGCCTTAACTATACTTGTTTATAAATGAAGTATCAAAAATTTGATTTTCTGACATCAAAAGATCTTTTTTATGTCAAAAAATAAGTCATAATCGGTTCCATTTTACTATATCAATTCCAGATGTAATTTGAAAAACAACAACAAACAAAAATCGATTTTTTTTATATCAAGAAATTATGTTTATTTCCTGATATCAAAGAATCGAGAAAAGAAACCATATACTGTACATAGTCGCCACTTAAAGAGTTTTTTAACCATTAAATAAGTCACGATATCAAATTTCGATTTCTCGCTACCAAAATTCACATTCTTAATATAAAGAAATGAGAGAAAAATCCCCGTTTAGAAATATAAGAAAAATATGCCATATTTCCTGCTATTAGAAGGAATTTTATTGAAAATATATCTATTTCTAATATTTAAAAAAAGTAATTTTGTGATATTAGAAAATACTTTGCACAAAGTAACGATGTTTGAAATTTGGCAGTTTCTAAAATAAATGTCCGACACGTACATAGGATATATGCATTTGGAAGGACTCTCACAATAAGTGAAGTGCGATAGAGTGATGACAATGAATTAGGATAGGCTAGGTTGTGGGTTACATTAATCCTGATGTATAAACAGTCGGCACTATTCTCAAACAATGAAACTAATTCATCAGAATAATGTATTTAAACAATGTTCTCAAAATTCTGTATATATGAAGCAAGACAGAAATTATCACATTTTCAAAAAAGAAAATTTCAATGACCTAAATAATTTTCAATAGCACAAAACACAATTGTTAATAAACACATGCTTGCAGCTGTATTTTCATAGCATTATTTTAATACGTGAAAAGAAAACGTCGACATGCGGAAAGAATCTTAATTCAAACACAAATTCGTGAACTATGGGGAAATCAGAACAAAATAAGGAGACTCATGAAAACATACACTACGAGGGAAATAAGACTAAGTATTCAGGAAGACGGTAAGCGTCATCCGTTTCATCGATGGAAATCTGCCATGTAAATCTTGCTCAGTGAAAGTAAGTAATATCAGGTTCCCTAATGAGAGCACGGTAAGCAACAACTTCACGACGAAACACCAAACATGTACGAATTCATATCGCATAAAGGAAGCGCATACTTTCCTAATGAGATCATTATAACGACCATACAATTTCACAATAACCTTTACCAGCCTGCATCTCTTGAAACCCTGTATTTTGAGTTTGTCTGTCAGCTAACATCTTGTACAGAAATCGTGTGATTGAGAGCATGCCCTAGACTATCTAATAACACAGAATGAAAGTTGCGGATGCAAATATGTTGCTTTCCAAAAATGGAAAATTTACAGTAGCCAGATTGAAATCATCAGGCTAATCTGTTGGTTTCGTTGAAGTGAAAGATCGAGATACGCGGCTGAAGTAGAAAAGTCTGTCGTGTCTTTGATTTCCAATTCTGGTGAGTGTATGCGATGACCATGGACAACTAAAAAAAAAAAAGTTTTAAAAGATAATGCGTTACTGAAAGTGAAATTGAAGGAATCACAAGATGTTTGTGACATGTTTGATAAGTTCAGCCTCGTGTGTGAAAAAGACCAGTGAGCCAACTGAGGAGTATAGTTAGCTACCATACATGTTGTTAACAGTCTTTTGGGAAGTCTTACCACAAAACTGGATGAAGATGTCATCAACCAGAACTTCGACCATCAATATGACAAGTTCCTTTCATTACTAATATCAACAATAAGTAATCATTTTGTATTTTTCTCATAGTATGACCGATGTATATTTCATACGGAAAATTAACATTTTTCCACTTTCCTTTATGAAACTTTTTTATTTTTATAAATGATGAATACTCTGAAAGGATTTACATTTTACATTAAATTAAGGTTCACGATTCTTATAAATCTACATTTTAAAATTATACCTTATGGTAATTAATTGCTTTAGTTTTTTTCTCTATTGATATTAAAAGCCCTAGCTGAGAAATCCCGTGTTTTGGGTTAAAGTCGGAAATGTGTCACCAAACTGAAGTGTTTTTGTATTTGACCAACCTAAGTCTATATTTTATTGTTCAAACTTACTTTTTGTACTGGTCATAAAAGCAGTATATTTAAGGATTAACCTTTCGAAGCGTTTACGCTAAATTTATCTCGTTCTTCATTCCATTTATGAGCTCCTAAACTAAACAAAATCAAAGATTAATACTTATATTTACAATATTTTCTTTTTACTTTAAAGTAATGAAAATTCAGATATATGAAATTAATCGTAGATGTAGGCGTTTGCAGGTGTCTGGACGTCATCTCCATCTTAAGCGGAACAGCCATGCCATGGACAAAGCCGTTGAGAGACAGCTAAGTCCCGCCCTTTTTCTCGTAAACAATAACAGAAAATAGTTCCTGCATTTCAAACATATTGTTGTTTCCTTGCTGTTTTACAGGTCCTCATTTACCATTGACTTAGACAACAACAAATACAACATTACAAACAAATCATTACACACACTCGGTGAAATATACACCAAGTTTTATCCTCCAAGTTTTAATGCAAGGAAAGCTTTGATCATGACACAAGATTTTAACAAAGGGCAATAACTCTGTACTGAGTGGTCATGGGCCCTGAGTTTGCTACACCTCACCTTGCTTTTGTATGACTAATACAATATCCTAGTTTATTAAATGCAGCTATGCTCAGGTCACGAAAGGACGGCAGGACGGACGAACGACGGACGGACGAACGGACGGGGAAAAAACTTGATTTGACGAGATGCGAGTAAATTATAAATAAAAATGATTTTTGACAAAAGAAGAAAAGTGCAAAATGTAACGTCTTTCTTCTTTTGTCAAAAATCATTTATTTAAAGAAAAAAACCAAGACGTCCGTAGGGTCTGTCTATTTACCACATTGAGACTCGTCCCTCTGTCCCATAAGGGTCAATCCTACTGTTCATATGAAAGGGATATTTCCCTCTATTTGATGATGCTTGAGATAAAACTTGGTCAAAAAATTCTTCACCAGAAGACGGAATGATATTAAATATTTACACTATTTCACTTCATTGGCCCAACCAATAAGCAATCCTTACCCCTCCCTTCCATCCAAACAAACAAGAAATGATTTATAAAATTGCTCAGTCAAACCTGTCTGGTCTCACCTGCCTTCGGCCAAGGGGCACACAAGTCCAACGTTTTATAAAAGTTTCTTCCGCTTTCCCAAAGTATACTCCATACCAAATTTGGACAATATTCAATGATTTCATTGAATTGGCTAAATATCCCCATCTTAAGGCTCAGATGGAGCCCAGACATATCTTTGTACAAAATTTATTTCACTCGCGTCAATGATGAATCTGACACACTTCGTGCATCCTACAAAAATGTGCCTTCATCCATCCCAACAGAAGGATTCTGAAGATTTTTGCCAAGTTTGTCCTATCAGATTAGTTCCTCAATAATTCCTACAAAAGAAGTATTTCTAAGAGTTTGACACCGGACTGGAATTAAGTCTGTGTGTAAAGGAAGAAAGAAGGAAGCCACAACCATGCTTTGGAACCTGTACTGGTCTAGTCAAAACTGACTGGTACAAGATGATTGTGATGTAAGTAAGAGACAATCATAAGCTGCCTGTATAGTGTGGGAACCGTAGTGTTCTAGAGTTAGACCGATTGACAGGGTTCGATCGAGTAAGGTAGCAGAGTAAAGCAGTTTTAAGGTAGCGTTGGTGTCGAAAGTTGGTGCGATGCAAGCAATGTAGAGTAATTTAGTAAAAATGGCTTAGGTAGTTCTACCTGGTAGGTTGCATTGCGTTGGTGGCGAAAGTTGGGGGCTAGGGAAATCAGTGATGGTGGAAGAAGATGGCGCAAGGTGGTGCAAATGTTGCTGGCGGTGCAAAGGCATTTGGTGGCGATGGTTGGAAGGTAACGTCGAGAGACGTAGTTGGCTACTATCGAGGAAGACAGTGTACATTTAGATTGGCGAGACAAATGGACAACAGCTTTTTTTTGTGTGATTGTTACTTCTAGTTGTTTATTGGCGTCCGTGTGAATGTGAAGGAGTGTTTTAACCGGGTATGAGTTTGTTAGTGTGTATTTACTTTGTTAACATGTGCAGTGAAAGTTGACTCTAGTAGTGTTTCATTACTCTGCCTAAATGGTAAAGTACAGGTATATGGAGAGGAATAGACGATAAATGATTTGGTATTCTTCATCCTGTTACGAAATGATAGAAGGTTGATATGGTACCGGGCTGTTTTTATGTATTATGCAGTCACGTAGACGTTATGAACTATGGAATCTGAATTCTCTAGTAATCGCCATATACTTGTGTATTGGTATGGAGCAGGATAATATGGTATAACAATGTAGACTCAAGGACTGAACATACAGGATAGTTCTGTGTACAACTACATGATGAAACGTACTTACATGCATGTTAAGAAGTCAGACGACTTTGTAATAAGACTATAATGGTTGACAGAAGTCACGCGCAATCTATGGCCTGAACATTATTCTCCAATTGAAAGCAGAATAGAATCAGCGGCCCTATAGTTGGGGTAGCTACTGGCGCGAGCTGGATCAGCGTATAGTATATATGTATAATGTCGATAGAATTGATGTTCTTATAACACACCCAATATAATGTCTAAGTGTGACATTCCAATGGCAACACTGTTGCCTTCAAGAGCCAAACGACCAGCGTGAACCGTAATTTAAGCATTAACGAACAGTACTAGTGTACGAGATGGTACCGAATCGACCGATTTCTTCGACTGTACTATTATATTAGTTGTACACTAAAGCAGAAAAGAGTGTGACGAAATAGTAAAAAATTACGGTAAAAACGTGCAGAAGATGACAACAATGTACTGTTACATCTGTGGTTACACCCTTCACGACAAAAATTTACCAAGGTGGCAGTGTTGTACCGAAACGCCACACTTCAGTCTTATATTCTATCTTGAGTAGTGTAGGATCATACAAGTGGTGTAAAGTACAAAATGAAGCAAAAAGCATGAATACGGTTTTACTCCCGCATGGAATAACGACCCAAAACTCAAAATCAGTACAAGACAGATATCCTTAACAAAACAATCCCACCGCTCCTTATCAGCACAATTCCACAGCTCACTATCAGTACAATCCCACAGCTCCCTATCAGTACAATCCCACAGCTCGCTATCAGTACAATCCCACAGCTCCCTGTCAGTACAATCCCACAGCTCCCTATCAGTACAATCCCACAGCTCCCTGTCAGTACAATCCCACAGCTCCCTATCAGTACAATCACACAGCTCCCTATCAGTACAATCCCACAGCTCCCTATCAGTACAATCCCACAGCTCGCTATCCGTACAATCCCACAGCTCCCTATCAGTACAATCCCACAGCTCCCTGTCAGTACAATCCCACAGCTCCCTATCAGTACAATATCACAGCTCCCTGTCAGTACAATCCCACAGCTTGCTATCAGTACAATCCCACAGCTCCCTATCAGTACAATCCCACAGCTCGCTAACAGTACAATCCCACAGCTCCCTATATGTACAATCCCACAGCTCCCTATCAGTACAATCACATAGCTCGCTATGCGTACAATCCCACAGCTCCCTATCAGTACAATCCCACAACTCTATATCAGTACAATCCCACGGCTCGCTATCAGTACATTCCCTCAGCTCCCTATCAGTACAATATCACAGCTCACTATCAGTACAATCCCACAGCTCCCTATCCGTACAATCCCACAGCTCGCTAACAGTACAATCCCACAGCTCCCTATCTGTACAATCCCATAGCTCCCTATCAGTACAATCACATAGCTCGCTATGCGTACAATCCCACAGCTCCCTATCAGTACAATCCCACAGCTCCCTATCAGTACAATCCCACAACTCTATATCAGTACAATCCCACGGCTCGCTATCAGTACATTCCCTCAGCTCCCTATCAGTACAATATCACAGCTCACTATCAGTACAATCCCACTGCTCCCTATCAGTACAAACCCAAAGCTCCCTATCAGTACAATCACACAGTTCCCTATCAGTACGACCCCACAGCTCGCTATCAGTACAATCCCACTGCTTCCCATCAGTACAATCCCACAGCTCGCTATCAGTACAATCCCACCGCTCCCTATCCGTTCAATCCCACAGCTACCTATCAGTACAATCCCACAGCTCCCTATCAGTACAATCACACAGATCGCTACCTGTACAATCCCACAGCTCACTATCCATACAATCCCACAGCTCCCTATCAGTACAATCCCACAGCTTGCTAACAGTACAATCCCACAGCTCCCTATCCGTACAATCCCACAGCTTGCTAACAGTACAATCCCACAGCTCCCTATCCGTACAATCCCACAGCTCCCTATCAGTACAATCACATAGCTCGCTATCCGTACAATCCCACAGCTCCCTATCAGTACAATCCCACAACTCTATATCAGTACAATCCCACGGCTCCCTATCAGTACAATATCACAGCTCATTATCAGTACAATCCCACAGCTCGCTAACAGTACAATCCCACAGCTCCCTATCCGTACAATCCCACAGCTCCCTATCAGTTCAATCACATAGCTCGCTATCCGTACAATCCCACAGCTCCCTATCAGTACAATCCCACAACTCTATATCAGTACAATCCCACGGCTCCCTATCAGTACAATATCACAGCTCACTATCAGTACAATCCCACTGCTCCCTATCAGTACAAACCCACAGCTCCCTATCAGTACAATCACACAGTTCCCTATCAGTACGATCCCACAGCTCGCTATCTGCACAATCCCACAGCTCGCTATCAGTACAATCCCACAGCTTCCCATCAGTACAATCACACAGCTCGCTTTCAGTACAATTCCACAGCTCCCTATTAGTGCAAACCCACAGCTCCCTATCCGTAGAATCCACATCTCCCTATCAGTACAATCCTACAGCTCCCTATCCGTACAATCCCACAGCTCCCTATCCGTACAATCCCACAACTCCCTATCAGTACAATCCCACAGCTCCCTATCAGTACAATCCACATCTCCCTATCAGTGCAATCCCACAGCTTGCTAACAGTACAATCCCACAGCTCCCTATCAGTACAATCCACATCTCCCTATCAGTGCAATCCCACAGCTCCCTATCAGTACAATCCCACAGCATTTCTATCCATACAATCCCACAGCTCCCTATCAGTACAATCCCAAAGCTCCCTATCAGTACAATCCACATCTCTCTGTTAGTATGATCCACAGCTCCCTATCAGTACAATCCACATCTCCCTGTTAGTAAGATCCACATCTCTCTATCAGTACATCACAGCTAGCTATAAATAAAATTAGTTTCTGATTCGTATAGCTGTTTCCCTGCTAATAAGGCAGTAACTAGCTCATTTGTTCCAAAACTTTTTTCCATTGTTTAGTGAATGAGATTCGATCACAGCTTGGTTTAATGAAAAATGGGATTGTAACACTATATATCACTGATTGCACAAATTTTATTAATGAACTTTTTAGTTAATAAAATTAATGGCCATAGAGGTTAGAAAGTATTTAGACTTGAAGACAATTCCAAATGAACAAAATTGTGATGAATACAGCAACATGACTTTAATTAAAATTGAAAACAAGTAGTATTTAAATACAATATTCAATAATATTTCTAAATTCTCCTTAAGTTATTTTGTGTAGATCTTTGTACAATTTAGAAGACATATGTTTACATTCTGTAACAAAATATCCCAACAAAAACACAAGTAAAACAAGATGTATGAAGGCAAAATATATGATACAAATAAATGATTTCACATCTCTCCACCCTTGACTTTGCGCATGACCTCTGACAACATCTGATTACAGAGAGCAGCATAAGGGTTCATGGCAACCACCTGTTGCTTGGCAAATTGTCCTCCTAAAGCAGCAGCCCTCTTGAAATCTTCCAAAGCCTTCTCATCCTCCCCTTTAACAAAAAACATTTGAATCAGCAACAACATTTCTTATAAAAAAAGCTCTGTATAAGCAGGTTATCACCAATATACTGAATACTCGGTAACAGTTGTGGGGGAATGAATTCATTATATTTGCATTCGATAAATATAGACTAATCATGAAATTAAATACCCTGAAAAAAATTTTCACAGAGAATCAAACTTTCATGAAATATATGTTTTGTATAAATGGACACCAAATGATAGACATGGGCAATATTTACTATTTGTTAACTAACAATTAAACAGCAATAAGAAAACAGCTGTGTAAAAAAGTCCTTTTTCTATGTAACAACAGTTGGCATTACTTAGTGAAAGAAACTAATAACATGAACTTTTGAGATTAGAAATTTTGCCCCAGCCAATCAGGAGTCATAATAGTCTATATGAAATCTTAATTTTTTAACACTATTGTTAAAAACCAAGAGACCCATAGGGCCTGTTTCGCTTGGCTTCATTAAAACTAAAGGAAAAGGAATTCGGAATATCTAAGCACACTACACACAACGTATCTATTTTCCTATTGGACCCAAACCCCTTCTCCCTTGGGGGTCAACCAAACCATTCATACTTCAGATCAAATCATTCCAGCGGGAGAAGTGGGATTTTTAAGAATTTGCCTTATTTCCCTTATTGCTTCAGACCAAATTTGGTAAAATCCGATCATCCCAACAGGTGGAGTTGGATTTTAAGTGAGCTAAAAAGTACAAAGTACTTATTCTTACAGCCTCTACCATTCCACAAGACATGATGACATGACACTACCAACAGAAACCATTATACTATCATGTAAACCAGAGATACATGAGGCATGTTAACTTAACTGATTCTATTTACAATTTCACCATTACATTTGGAAATAAAATCATTTCACTACAGAACTTAAAGTCAAAATTAAAAAGTAACATACCTTCAAGTTTGAAAATGAGTCCCCGTTGTGTATATGCCTGACAAGCAGCAGATCCCTGGCCCTCACTTAATTCGATAGCCTTGTTCAGATCCTGCAGAGCACCTGTAACATACAAGGTAACTATACTATGATATTCACATGGGTTGTTTTATGACTATTGACTGCATGTAACTTTGTTTCCTTTTAGAAACAGATTATATAGAGAGCACTCACCATCATACAATTTTCATTAACTCTGATTTTGACCTATACTTCTTATGTGTGAATGTGGTAACCACAATGACAAATGGAGACCAATATATGCTAAAAAATATTCTGAATATACCTTCTAAAAGATAGTGGTAACTATATGTAAGGTAACAAAAGTATCTATAAAGCATTTTCTGTCAGAAACAAAAATAACTTTTAAATTTTGGCAACCTGTTGCTTGATGTTCCCTGGTCATTTCTAAAACTCAGCATGAACATTTAAAACTGAAGGTAAAACCTATATAATTATGCAATTATAATAAAACACTTCTCCTTCGTTTTTCTGATCCATAGTGAAAAAAACTTGATTGTTGCCTTTATGAGAGTTGTATGTTGATCTCTTTCGTTGTTGGGTAATCCTGAAACTGAGAGTGCAACACTAAAAACTTTAGGAGGCAAGGATATCCAAATGGAATTTTGGGATTCCTCTCTCAAAATAGCAATATCAATTTGCATTGAACGAGATTTCTTTATCAGCCTATAAATAGGTAACACATCAATCTGAAGCACTGACCTTGTATATCTCCCTTAAGTCTGAGGGCCTGGGCTCTGTTGTTGTATCCAGACCCACGGGTCGGACACACCTGTATGGCCAGTGTAAACTTGTTCAGTGAAAGCTCAAGGTCGCCTGCCTCAGCAGCATCAACACCTTCTGCCTCATAGAGCTTTGCTTCTTTCACATCATCTGTCTCTATTTCCTCTGAAATATTAGATGTTAGTGCTGTTGTATCTGTCTGAGAATTCCTTTATACAAAGACCACCTGTTTATAAAGACATGGTACCTTGAGTGGCCTCTATTGATAGTATTATATACAGGTATTCAATAAGCTAGGTAAATTTACATATATGTATGTATATTTAGAAAACATTATTAAAAGTCGTTTAGATCAATCCTGTAAATATGAATTTTTTAGCATCATTCCCATCGGATTTCAAGCTTATAAAATCTTATTGAGTTAAATAATGGGTGTATTCCCCCATTACCTGTCTTAAGTGCAGTACATTTCTACCTGTAGACTAAATTCTTTAGTTCTACTTGCCAATAAAGTTAAACTAAACTAAACCTACACTAAACTAAACTGCCGGCTATGGTGGGATGGTGGCACTCAGTGTAATATTGGTGACATTTATGAGATGAGAATGACAAATTCATTTAAATATATATATTTATATTGATTTTCTGAATTACAATGTATAACAGAATAGTCTCAGCGATGTTTACAACTTAACCCTCTTTTTTTTCTACCAAGACAAGTCAACATTTTAAAAAACTTTAAAGTTCTAAAGCATTTTATGATTTGTTAATTAACAGAGTGAAAACTTTCAATAGCAAAGAGAAAAAAACACAGTGGGTGAGAACATTCTGATTTAATAATGAAAACTGGTTAAACATGCAAGCACCGCCTTAACAAATCTGACTAAAACTACATTATCCTTCACCATATTTTGACTACAAACTTATTTAATTTTTAAAGCAAAGATGACAGATAGTCCTCTCTGCAATCTCTATAACACTGAAAGGGAAACTCTTGTACATTTATTTTGACGATCTTTTTTATCAATTTTTATAGTCTAGATATGTTGTCAAAAACTCTATTCATACATTTTCTGTTACCATGGAAACAGATAACCCTCATAACAAAATTAAGTTTTTTCTGGCCCAATGCTCTAAAGCCATTTAAAATAATTGCTCAAAACTTTTCACTCTTATTAAGCTAGTAGTATCTTTTACTATGGGGAAGTTCACCATTTAAATACTTTTTCCTGTTACCATAGAAACAGATAGGCCAAATCACAAAGTTCAGTTTTTTTCAGACTAGTTCTCTTAAACTGTTCATGGTAATTACCTATTACTCAAACCTTTGTACAGGCATCAAGCTAGTAGAAGTTCTCAATTTTGATACCATGTATGGAACGATTAAAGACAACAAATAGAAATTTAACTTGTTGCAATATTAACATATATTTATGATTGTGCGTCTTTCTTTTCAGGGTGCAGGGATAATGTTGTCTTTTGTTCTTCTTTGTCTGTCTTTATGTTGTATGATTGTATGTGCAGGACTTATTTACATATGGAAACTTGATTATTTCAGCATATCAATATCTTGCTGTATGCATGCAAGGGGTCTAACTGTGGAAGGAAAACCTTATCCCTTCAGTGAATCGAACCGCGAACGGCAAGTGTGTTTCAATTGTGCCACCAAACCACTGCCTGAAGAAGAAGAAGAAGAAGAAGAAGAAGAAGAAGAAGAAGAAGAAGAGGAGGAGGAGGGGGGAGGAGGAGGAGGAGGAGGAGAAGAAGAAGAAGAAGAAGAAGAAGAAGATGATGATCATGACCATGTGATGATGATGCATCGGTTCATGTGTATGTGTCGATGTTATGTTAGAATCTTGCGAAATATAGAACAAGTTTTGTTGTTATTGTATGGCGAATGGTTTAAATCAAAACTTGTTATTCTTTCTTGATGTGTAACATTTAACAGCAACCAAAATTATCAGAGTGCGAGGTCATGCAGGTCAGTAACTCGTGATACGGCTCGACAAAATTGTTGTCCCAAAAATACATAACGGTTCGAAACCGATGTCGAGACGACGTGTTATGACGTCAGTTACCTGTCCTTGTCATCAAGGGCTAAAAGAAATTTATTCGTTCCGTTTAATGATGCGTTACCTAGGTATGGTGCATGTTCTTCGTCAGTTTCGTTGACAACATCACCATATGGGAGATTTGGGTTAAATATGCGATTCAAAACTGCATCGTCGTGTGTTGATACCGTCTTTGAGGTCATCCTACTTTCTTTTTCAAATTTAAGCGTCTCTGAGATCTAGCTAAAACGCTTTACTGATGCCAACCGGAAATTCACAAATCACATAATTTTAAAGACGATATGACGACAGATTTCTAGATAAGAACAACACCATAATCAGTTTGGGAATTTTAAAATGAAATACCATTGAAAGAGAATGCAGTGTTTCAGACAACTCCCTTGATCTTCATATATCATAAATCAGAAACTTTAACCGGATACTGATATGCATTTTCCGTTTTCACTATAATTCACAGCATTGGCTCTTCCTGTGTAAACACTGAAGATGGTTGACGCAGCGGTTACAGTACAGAACTAGGTGATGCACACAATAATGTAAATACCAGGAAGGCAGATGAAAGTAACATCTTTGTTCAACTTAAATCTTTATGTCAGTTATTTCAATATGATATATGTTTTAACGTTACATTCACGACCACCGACATAGTTGAGACCAGTAGTACTGTTTCGTTAGCGTGACCCAGAAGTACGCATGCATATATAAAATTATCATTTGAACGGGAATGACATTCTGATTAAAAAAAAATAAAAAATTAAAATTTTTAAATACATTTATGGTGCGAAAGTGTATTTTTGCCTAAAGCATGCTGGGATGGTCATGATGCTTGGCCTTCACACACATACTTAAGGGCTTTCCCATGTGTTCACATAAACAACCTTCACTCCTTGTTAGAGTAAAATAATGTGAAATATGTTAAAATCTTCAGATAACTTCTCAGTAATTTGAAGGATGTTTTAAGAACTAAAGCAATAGCATGATATGGTGGAGAACTTTAAAGTGCATGTGTTCAAATGTATGACACTGTCCCTTTTGTTTAGCTCATTTGGACCAAGTGGGTTGAAATCTGTGAACATCTTTTTCTAGTGACCAAAATTTCTAGAGACATGGTTCTTGGCAAATATGGTTGGATAGGCTGTTGAATTTATTTAGAGGGATGACCTTTTCCTTATTTCATGGTCACAAAGGTCAAACATGATAAAATATTCAATAAGCATAGGACCCAGGGTAATAATTGGTCAGTAGCTTAATCAGATGTAAAGTTATAGATTTTGTTAAATTAAAGTCACTTGATCCACTGACAAGGTTCTGAGTTTTCTCAACCTTTCTCCTCGATCTTTTCTTCCAAAGAAACCAACACATACAGCTTTCCACCATGTTGTATGTTAAGAGTGATACCTAATTTTCCCTAATTTTGAATTTTTCATTAGTATGCCAGTTTCCTCAACCTGAAGTGTTTACATCACTTTGGGAAGAAAAATTATATAATAGAAGGTATTGTGACTCCAGCAAGGGCCAAGGGGTGATGTCCATTATGGGAAATAGAGGAATTAGGCTTTAAAATGTATGTACTTTTACATTTACATATACGAGTTTTACCCGAAATGTCATTGGGGAAGATAATTATTTCCTAAGATTACAGGAACATTTATTTTTTGTCACTTAATTTAGAATTTTGTGAAGAGTGCTTACACTTTCTTTGTATTTTGGCCATGTTACTGTTAAGGGCCATGGGACTTTTGTTCCTATATAATACATGTTTAACTATTGATAACTATTTACTTTTCATTCATACCAGTATCAAAGCATCATCAGAATCATTGATTGGAAATGAAACCTTGTGTGTCAATTACCAAGGTAATTTCTTTAATTTCACAGCTGTAATTCTACTGTCCAGTGATTATGTCCTCAGGAGATGAAGAACATGAAAAACGACATGAAGCAAACGACTTTCTGTTCAGAATCACAACATTTGTGGATAGATATATTCGAGAAGCAAAGGTAAGTGTGATATGGAAAAGGTAGTCATACTGCTAGGGTAGGTTTGTTAGGGCTAATGCATGTCTGATATGGCAATAATTATAACAATGGTATGGCTAAGGTAGGCATGATATGGTTAAGGTTGGTGTGATATAGCAAAATGTAGGATTTAGCATAATAATCTTGTTCAAACTGTGAATTTCCTTCTTAGGCTATTTTATGACTAAACCAAAAAATCAACAACTTCTGCAGAAAGTTTGTTAATTCTGTATTTCACAAATAATTCAACAGTCAAATACTTCCATGTTTACATGCCCTAATTCTGATGGTTCTGATTCCTGTCCAGTATTTCATAAATGGACCAAAAATTATGAAACTGACTGAAATCATGATCAGTTTTAACTTATTCTACACAGTGGGTAGCCTATGGTGTTGGATCGGTTGGATTGGTCCTTGTACTGCGCGGCATACACGCAGTAAGTATGACTGCATGTTACACTCTTTGTTGCTGGCTCTGTACACCTGTTGCTGTCTTTATGAGGAAAGCTCCCTTAAGATGCAATGCATTTCCTTTCCAAAAGATTTTGTTCTTAGGTCAATCTATACTCTAACAATGCATTACAGGTCAGTACTACACCAGGAATATGAACATGATGTAGATAAACCATAATCATTCATACTCAGATATTTTCATAAAAAGATCCTTTTTAATATTCCATTTCTTGTGAATAATTAGTGACTGAAATTAAATGAAATCATTATTGAGAATGGCAATCTGATTGTTCTTTAAGAATCTTTTGTAAACGAGGACAAACTTGTTTACACTATTTTACCTGACACAGCTTGATTCACTGGACATTAAGCCACTTGATTGTATCCAACTTTGATATGTCTTTCTAAGGAAAGCAATTTGAAACATGATTTATTGTCAATATATATTTTTGTATTTAATATAACATCATCTAAGGATTTTTGATATCAGACAGATGTGTTCTCCACTGCAAAAGACATCCCAAAACATTTTATAAAGAATGGTGTTCATCTAAGAGGACGAGTAGCTTCATTTGGTGTTAATGGCATTCTCCACATTGATCACAAACCCCTGTTAACAATCAAACCAAGATGGCTTCAACACTTTTATAGTAAGTGATGTTGGTATTATATTGCAAGAAAAATGGACTTTTAAGTGATACAAATGAGGCTCAACAACATAGATTTTTCCTCAGGTCAGCTTCTTAAAAGAAAATAAGTTCACATTACCTGTATTGATACTGCAATATAGTTAACATACATACTCAAAGTAAGATCTAAAACAAAACTAGACTCACAAATTAACCATAAAGTTATAGAAATATCCAATAATTAATGTATTTATAGTCTTGCTGAAAGACATGATAATTGCTGTTATCATTATAATGTTGATATATGTGGGAAACAGATATTCTATTGTGACCAATTGAGGAGATGGGAAGGAACATACTTGCTGTATCGCTGCGTATTATAAGAGGAGACTGATAGTGGGGCACTCCCTGCAGATTGAGGGTTTTTACTACAATACCATCTGTTTAGGGAATTTTAAAGAGCCCAAGAAAAGGGTTTGCTGTATTTCACAGGATGAAATTAGTAGGTGACTAAAAGCGGGGCAACTGCAGAATCCAGGGTTATCTTACATGTCTTTTTCCAAGGCGACATTCAAGAGAGACCAAAATAGATCTGCTGTGGGAGATATATATTTGTTTGCAATAAGCCCAGGGGATCAACATGCAACTTCTGACTTGATGAAAAGGCTTATTGTGAGACAATGTCATATGATTGATGTGTACTTTATAGAACAGTAATATATATAGGTGTGCTTATTACCAATATGCTTGGAAATATTACTGGTATTTTATTAGCAGTATATGTATGGAAGGGCTTTTTAGCAAATATAGGTGGGCATAGCAGTATGGGTGGGCTTATTAGCTGTATACATGGGCAAATTATTTGTAGGCTTTCGTTCATGAGATAGCTTCATTTACCAATAGCATTACCTTTGATATTAAGAAAACAATCAAAGTTCAATATGAGCAGAAGAATTATCCCAAAATGTTGCTCTGCTAGGGACACAAGTTCTTACAAATATAGCTGTGGGAGAATGATTTTTTTCGAATATTTAATGACATGAAGGAATGTTGGTTTTAATGAAGTGAGAAATTAACTGAAAAAGTCCCAATGTCATCTTGTCAAAAATCATGGTGAAATAAATCAAAAGATGAATTTGTCTTGATAATTATGATGGATTTTAGGTGCTACAATTAACAAACCTATATGATGATTTTAAGTTGCTTATGCACAGGATATATATGTCTGTCAATAGGATTGATTTGTTAGTGTTTATCTTGTTTATCTCCATAATATACATTTGTTCTGGAGGTTAGATCAGATAAAGATGGATGTTGTACATTTGTTTTTTCAGAAACTAAATCACTTTCTGTAGAGCTGGCGTACGTATCTGTGTCACCTCTTGGCCAGCAGTGGTTAAGAAGTAATATATTGGGGAAAAAGGTCTTGTTTCAGCCCTTACAAATTCAGGAAAAGTCACATCCATGGGAAGATTCAGTTGTGGCAGCTGTTTATATACCCAAGGTATAATAGATATAACATAAAAAGTTTTCAATGTATAAAATGCATAAAATACATTTTTTCCGGTGGATTTATTTTCAATGTTTTTGTTGGTGCTTTTAATCTCTGAATTCATATATCCATAAAATGTTAAAAGTATCTTGTAGTATAAGTAGATTTATTGAGCTACATGTATAGTTATCTTCGAAAATCAAGTGTTAATGAATAAGTAACATTTTGAAAAAAAATATACAAAAGTATATGCTTTTACTGTAACAAAAATACAAAATTTGTTTTGGTGTATGAATAAGCATGAAACTATTAGTTGTGTACCTCCTTTTTTAAACATTCAGGTGTACATTCAGTCTCTTTTTCTGAACTATTTATTGTAATAAGTGGATAATTATGTGTTTATGTAAAAATGTGAAATATAGTCACATAATCAATAAGATGCTGGGAATTGATTAATAGTTTGTCAGGTATTGTGTAAGTGAGGATCACAACTGTTAGTTTGATATTTCTTCTCTGTTTCTGTCAGGTTTGCAGAAGAAAATGTGTGAATGAAGAGCTAGTGGCACAAGGACTGTGTAAGGTATCCTATGATTTTCAACAGGATATGTCCAAGTTGTCTCTTGAACAGTCACAGTTACTTGATAAACTTATAGCACTGGAAAGCATTGCAAGTAACAAAGAAAAGGGGATGTGGAAAGGATTGCCGAGTGAAAGAAAGTACACAAAGATTTTAGGAGCCATGAAAGGAATTGTGACTTTGCCTTGGACAGGACTGAAAAACATTGCTAAAGTTTTTGGAAGTTGGATCAACAGGAAAAAGCAATAGCTATAAGAACCTGGAGTTTAAAATTAGAAATTGTTTTTTAATACACGTATATTTTTTCTCATGAAGTTGTGCTGTTTAATAAAAACATTTTGTCTGATGAGTTGTACAACTTATCAACTTATTGTGTTTAAATGAATAATAAACAATAAACTTGTGATTGCAGAGATTTCATATTTTGATAACAAGTTTTATGTCTCAGCATCTCATTTTTCTTATTGGTATCAATGTTTTGTACATTTAATTGAATATTGAGTAGATTGAGTAAATGCTTCCTTATCTTTGTTAATAGTGAAATCAAAACAATTTCATTGTGTTTAATTTAAGCTCATGTGGTCTGCTAAGCTTTATGTGTTAGATAACATGACACCAAAAACTTTTCCCCAAAACTGACTGAAAATATTTTAAATGACCAGATTTGGTATCTTATAATAATAAAACAGGGGCTCAAAATTATTCAAGAAAATTTGTCAGCTCCTGAAGGATTGCTTTAAGAATGGAGAATTTTGTTTAAATTCTACTTCACATTAATGTAATACATATCAATATATACTTTAAAATGATAATGATTTATAAATGACACAGACAGGCTTATTTTCATAGGTTTGAGGAATAAAAGTTATCACCACAAATGATATGTCAACATCTCAACCACCCTTGTCTGGACATGCTGCAGCAACAGCAGAGGTATCAGTCATCAGAACCATTGTGCAGCCGCGCTGCGATGTTAACGGGTGGAAACCAATAATATCTATATCGCGCGAGAACTTTGTTGTCATCAAACCAACGACGGAGAGTCAGCAAAAGCCCGCCGTCTTGCTTAATTTAGTATTGCTGAATTGTCGCTCGGTGAAGAACAAGTCATTGTCTATCTCGGGATATCGATATTCTAGCGATAACGGAGACTTGGCTGGGCTCAACCGTTGATGACCAAATTCTCACTGAGCTTATACCAACAGGCTATGACATTCTCCACAATGCTAGACAAGGCAGACGTGGTGGCGGACTGGCTGTTCTGTTTAAGAAAGGATTGAGTGTGAGAAATCTCAATTCCAACAACGAGGATTCCTTTACACACTTTGAGCACATGACGTGTTCCGTCACCACTTGTGATACAAAATTCAGACTGTGCGTCATATACAGGCCTCCCCCTTCTAAAAGGAATGGTCTCCGTAACAAAGTCTTCTTTGATGAATGGTCTTCATATCTCGATCAACAGGTTGTAGCGCCACAGGAGCTGATTATTGCTGGCAACCTGAATTTCCACTTGGATGATAACACTAATGTTGATTCCCGACAGTTCGCCGGAATCCTTGACTCCCGGGGGATGACACAACATGTGACAGAAGCTACCCATTCACATGGTCATACACTAGATGTGATTATCACAAGGGGAAATACTTCTCTAATCCACGGAGCAATTCTTGTGGCAGATCCATGTCTGAGCGACAATAAGGGAAACCTATCTGGTGATCATCTTGCTGTCTATGCCACACTAAATTGTGGTAAACCAAAACGTGCCAGAAAAGAGGTCAGCTTCCGGAAATTCCGCAAAATTTCTGTACCTGATTTCATCAAAGACGTTCAGTCATCTTCAAGCCTTCAGACTACTGACGGTGGAGTTGACTGTCTTGTTGAAGCATATAACTCTGGTATCGAGGCTCTGATCGAGAAACATGCACCTCTTCAGACAAAGGTAATTACTGTCAGACCTAACGCGCCTTGGTACAATGAACAACTTCGTGATGCAAAACAATTGCGGAGGAAGGCGGAGAAACGTTGGCGAAAGACCAAACTAACCATCCATCGCCAGATATACAGAGAACATTGTCGGGCAGTCAGTTCACTACTCATTCAACGTAAGAAGGATTATTATTCAGGAAAAATCACAGAATGTGGATCGGATACAAGACAGCTTTTTAGACTCACCAGAAACCTTATGGGACATACTGGTGAAATCGCCCTACCAAGCTGTTCTTCTGAAAAAATCTTGTCCAACAAGTTCAGTGATTTTTTCCAGGATAAAATCAATACAATCAGGCAAAAGATTGATGTTGTGAACTCAACTTCCGACACTGGCATCTCTGCCATGGATGCCGATATCCAATTCTCTGGTGAACCTTTGACGCAGTTCACTCCAACAACTGAAGAAGAATTGCGCAAGATCATTACAAACTCTCAATCGAAATCCTGTGAGCTGGACCCGCTTCCCACAGTTTTACTGAAGCAATGTCTTGATGCACTGCTCCCCTTGATCACCTTAATCATGAATAAATCATTAGCAGAGTCTAGGGTGCCATTGTGTTTCAAGAAGGCTACTGTAAGACCACTGCTGCAGAAGCCTGGACTGAACAAAGAAGAATTAAAGAACTACCGTCCGGTGTCAAATCTTCCTTTCTTATCTAAGATCTTGGAGAAGATTGTGTCCCAGCGACTTGAGGCTCATCTCAATGCTAACAGTCTTCATGACAACTGGCAATCAGCCTATCGCACAGGACATTCCACTGAGACGGCCCTACTCCGTGTCTACAGTGATATTGCTGCCGCTCTGGATAACAAGTGTAGAGCGGTTCTTATCATGCTTGATCTGTCTGCTGCATTTGATGTCATTGACCATGGCACACTGTTCAAGCGTCTGGAGTACTCTTATGGGGTGACTGGTGATGCATTACGCTGGACCCAGTCTTACTTGAATGAACGACGACAGTGCGTTGCCATTGGATCAACTGTTTCAGACTGCAAAACCTTAGACTTCGGAGTTCCTCAGGGGTCCGTTCTGGGACCTAGAAAATACTGTCTTTATTCGAAACCAGTCGGGGAGATTTGTCGTCGTCATAACCTTCAGTACCATTGTTATGCCGACGACACACAAATCTACATGGTTATCAGACCTCAAGACAACTGGGACATAATAGTAGCAAGTCTTGAAGCCTGTCTAAATGACATCAGTGCTTGGATGAATTCAAATATGCTCAAGCTCAATCAGGAAAAGACAGAACTGATCGTCTTTTCCCACAAGTATCAACACACTAAAGGTCTCCAGTTAAAGGTCGATGCCCAAACTATTGAGGCCGTCCAAGCTGTGAGAAACCTTGGTGTACACTTTGATAGCTCTCTGAACATGGAGAAACAGATAAACTCAATTGCCAGTTCCTGTTATCACCAAATCAGAAACATTGGGGGTATCCGTCAGTTCATCACCACAGATGCATGCAAGACATTGGTACATTCTCTTGTTACTTCTAGGTTAGACTATGGTAACGCGTTACTCGTTGGTGTAGCTGATACACTACTGAGCCGCCTGCAGAGGGTACAGAACACCGCAGCACGCCTAGTTACCCGTACTCGAAAGAGGGATCACATTACACCAGTCCTTTACTTATTGCATTGGCTGCCCGTGCGATTCCGGTTACAGTACAAGATTTTGATGTATACATACAAGGCAATAAATGGAACAGCTCCTGAATATTTGCAGGAACTTGTCACCGTTTATCGGCCGTCACGATCACTACGATCGGAGACAGAATCCTTGTTGTGCGTTCCGAACTCTCGGACTGTGACTTATGGTAACCGATGCTTTGGAAAGGTAGCGGCCACTTTGTGGAACAGCTTACCATCTGCTACTAGAAAGTCAAAATCCCTGGCCAAATTCAAGAGGGATATTAAAACCCACCTGTTTACGTCTGCATTTTAGACTCTCACGCAGACGTCCTGTATATACATACTTTCACCACTACTTACTTGATTTGGTTACATATGTTGATTACTGTGTTATACATGTTCTGTAAATTTTGTAGTAAGATTATTATGTAATTGTGAAGCGCATTAGAGTATTTTGTCAAAATAGATAGTGCGCTATATAAATGTTGTATATTATTATTATTATATTATTAAAAGCAACTGTTGGCTAAGAAATTGATGAAATTGTAAACCTTAACATTGATGGGCATATATGATCCATGTTTAATATAAATTGAGGTGTCAATAACATGTTACAAAGAAACACATTTGATGCCTCAAGATTTGGTCCAAACAGAAATTCCTTGCCATTTGCTAACTTGACTTTAATATGCTGCTCAACACTGTAAGGTTAGCCTAGTGGTGGTGTTATGTGACTGCCATATTAGCTGAATTATAAGCCAGAGCTTTTTTAGGTCGCCCGAGCCGAAGGCTCATGGTGACCTATTGCCATCATGATTTGTCTGTCGTTGTGTGTCGTGCGTCATGCGTCATTAACGTTTCACATATTCAACTTCTTCTCAAGAACCACTGAATAGATTTTGACTAAACTTGGCACAAAGCATCCCCATGGGAAGCAGCTTCAAGTTTGCAAAGAAAAAGGGCATGGCCACAATAGGGGCCCCAGGAGGGGGAAAAAAGGGTGTAAAATTAGGTAAATCTTTAAAAATCTTCTTCTCATGAACCAACAGTCAGATTAAGTTTATATTTGATATTTAGGGTCCTTATGGCATGGTCTACAATGTTTGCGAATGAAAAAAAAATTGGGTCAAAAACGGCCCCACTAGGGGGCACTCAAAAGGGTCAAAAATTCAACTTTGACCGATTTCAACCAAATTTGGTGGAAAGCATCCCTTAGTGAAGGACATATGAAATTATGTTGAAAAAAGTGATTATGTCTTTTGGGCCCATAAGGGGTGTAAAAGGGGCCATATGTAAAAACCTTCTTTAAATGACTTCTTCTCAAGAACCAGTGGATGGATTTTGACCAAACTTGGCACAAAGCATCCCCATGGGAAGCCGCTTCAAGTTTGCGAAGAAAAAGGGTGTGGCCCCAAGAGGGGGAAAAAGGGGAAACTTGATACGAAGGTTCTACACAAGGTCCTGGCAAGTGTTTTAACTTTTTGGGGCGATTCAAAATCCAAGATGGCCACCCTGGCCTCTGTTTGGCTAAGACATTATGGACTTCCTCTCAAGAACCATTGGGTGGGTCATGTTCAAACTTGGTGCAGATATTTTACATATGGTCCTGCACAAGTGTTGTTACATTTTTGCAACATTTAAAAATCCCCAGATTATTGACATATATTCCTCAGGTGACCGTTAAGGCCCCTTGGGCCTCTTGTTTCCTTGACAATGGGATGCTGTCACTATTGCATTTCATGGTTGCATTGTACCAATTTCATGTATACTGTTATTGATTATTTTTAATTTGT